AAAGGGCAGACTCACTGTTCAGCTGAGCTGGCAGGGGGAATTCAGGAGGGGGAATGTAGCTGCCCAAGGTGGAACATCCCCTGGTTCTGTATCAACAAATTTCAGTGATCATAAGTGGTGAAGGTCTCGCACCTTTTCACTTTGGCATCTCCCCAAACACCCTGCAGGGGGCGCTGGGCTCAGTGATGGTTCTGAAAGTAACGCCCCATACGCTGGAATGCCAGTATCACTTTTTGCCTGTGACCTGATGGGTTTGGAGCATCTAAGAAGAGCTGGTAGCTGGGTGATCCCATTAGGCTAACGAGGCTAGTGTATAATTTAACTCCACACTGATCACCACGGTCTGGGCCCAGCTGCAGCCACCGGTGATTTTTAATGGACGAGAACTCGGTGCTGGTGAAAGGCGCTGCGCTGTCAGCCCTGGAGCCTGAAATCCTCCGTTTATCCTCAGCACCAGGAGAAACGGCACCAGCCAGCGCTGCAGCTAGTACTTACTGCAGCCATCTTGCACTGCTCCTCGCGCTGCACTGACATTACCCAGCTGGGCTTTCAGCATCCGGACTCCTGCCTGCGCTTCATCCAATAGCTGCAGACCTAGAAGAAAGTCACAGCGACTTCAGTGGAGATGCAGAACACTTGATTATCAGCACGTGTGGTAGAGCAGCACCTGCAGGCCCCTCTGTGCCAGGCGCTGTACGGACAGGAGGGGACAGTCCCTGCTCTCAACAGCTCACAGTCAAAATCGACTCTAGGTGGCAGAAATAAAGGATGATTTTCCTGCTGGGGAACTGAGGTGCAGAGAGACGTGCGCAAGATCACACAGAAAGTTTGCAGCGGAGCTGGGAAGTGACCCCAGCTGTCCTGAATTCTAGCCCTGTCCCCCCAATCTCCCCAGCCTCCTCTTCCCAATCGCTCCCACCTTGTGAGCTGTGAGTGGGTCACCTGCAGCATGGGGCAGAACTGGGGCTGCAAGAACATCCCTGGACCCGAGCCATGGCCCTAGA